TGAACGACGAAGCACTAAGGGATGAACTCGACCTAGTCGAGGAAATCCGATCGGGGGCTGCCCTGCGCGAAGCCACCCTAAAACAACGAGTGGCTCTACGCCACAACGACAAGGTCATCAAGCGCGAGTTCGAAATAGGCAGCCTGGTACTACGCAGAAACCAGAAAGACTCCCGCGAAGGGAAGTTGGCCGCGAACTGGGAAGGACCTTACCGCGTCCACGACACCACGGGTACCGGGGCGTACTACCTCGAGCAGTTAGACGGAGAGCCATTGCCAAGACCCTGGAATGCTGCTAAGTTGAAGCAGTACTACAGTTAGAAACTGTCAACACCTAGGACCCTCGACCAGTAGCACCCACGCTCGGGCAACGAGGAAAAACGTCCAAATTCGTTTAAGGCTAAGGTACATGCCCCACACACGACCAAAATGGCACGACATCGCGCGGTAAACGATGACGATCGATAGTGCCCGACGTGGACAAGCTATACCGAGCCCCATTGTCGTCGTACCTATAAGGCAGAACACCCAGCTCGCGATGGGCAGTTCACGCCAAGGGCGAATCGTCCCTAACGGGCTCCACGCCTGGCTGAGCAACCTCGCTCCGAAATGCCCGACATTCCATCAAGAACAACGGGACATCTACAAGGGTCAAAATGAAAATCTCTCCCCTCGAGCGCAACACTTAGGTGGTTCTGGCCAATCAAAATAGGGCCGAGAACGCATACAAGTGGAGACGAGCAGATTCGCTCGCCAAATCAAAGCCACCTACGGGCACTCCTCGGGCCCGTGACTTAGGCTAAATTCATACAAGCATGTGATTTCAAACAAGGGCAAAAATCCAAAATGTATAACAAGATATAAATGCCCGAAGGCAACAAAACAATATTAAACCGACCAAGAAGGCCGACGATGTTTATAACATACAATAAACGGGCACGCAGGCCCAAAGAGTACAAATATCAAGAGCATGCAGGCCCGCTATCCTACTCAAACTTCCACAGAATCATCATTGTCGACGCCAGGAGAGTCGGGCGGAGGAACGATCATGCCACCTACAACCCGGTGTGTGTGACCGATACCCTCAGTGACCAGACCAGGGTTTAGCAATGAGAGCTGGTCGACTGCAGAATTGAACCCGTCCTCCAGAGCGCCGACGCAGTCCACCTCGAGGAGCCGGATGTGGGCGACCAGCTCCGTCCGACTCTTCAAAGCCACTATGTCCTCGGGCTCATCTTCGGCAGGTTGTAGGACAGCATTCATTTCCTCGACCTGTTTACCCAAGCGTTCGACTTCGGCCGCCAGGCGATCCCTGTCGGTCCGAAGAAGCTCCCCTTCCTCAGTCAACCTCCCCGACTTCTCCTTTTCCAGGGTCAGCATCTCCCTCTCGGCATCAAGTATCGCGGTCTGCTCTCGGAACATCTCCTCGGAGCGTTCCAGAGCGACCTTCAACTTCCGCGAGCTCGCAGTCAGGGCCGCCTTCTCCTGCTTGAGTTCTTCAACACGGGCAGCATCCCCCCATCCTCAGATAGCACCAGGGCCATCTCGGCCATTTTTACCAGCCCATCCACGCTGGCGGCCAGATACGCCTTCCTTTCCTCTTTGCTCATCTTCTTTATGGCCGCAGCCTCATGGGCGACCACTGTCGGAGGGAATCGCTCGAAAAAGCCCGCCTCTTCGAAGCAAGGGGGGAAGGCAAAAGATTTAACAGCACCGGCATCCTCCCCGACAGTCGGACCACCTTCCACGCGGGTCCTCTTCCTCTGCGTCAAAACAGCACTGGGATCAATCTCCTCGACTTCTAGATCTGACGCGGGTCCCGAGCTCGACGTCGAGTCCACCCTCACCGGCTGAGGAGCGTTCGGACTTTGTGGTGGTCCCATTCTCGTCGTCTGCGGGGGCTTCACGACTCGCCTGCCTCGCCTCTGGTCGGTTGATAATTTCAGGAGCCTTTCATGTCGGCTAGCCATCGTACCTGCACGAAATAAAGGAAAAGTCAATATCGAGCAAACTGCATGAGTAAACGACGAATAAAAGAATTTCAAGCAAACAACCTAACAGGCGGGCAGCCTGCCTGTACGTCGGACACTCCACCAGCGCCTTGGTGTCGATCGGGCGAGACTCGAACATCGGGTAACCGTCTTTGTCGAGGATATCATCCCCTTCCCGCGTAACCCATCGGGCGGGATGAAAACTGTCGACAAACCGGCAAAGAGCGTCGTAAGCCCGCTGATCTTCCGAGCACATGTCCCCGACAGCGGTATGGTAATAACCTGTCCCATGCTCGTAATGTCGGGACATCCAGTACACCGGGAACTTAGCCCTGCGACCCAACACGGGGCTCCCGTCGTCGGCCACCATCGTTTCCCCATCATCGTCGCTCACTGGCCCCTCCTCCTCGAAAAGGGAATCTAAAGCAGCATCGGTAATTGGGCGTACCACGTACCATTTGTCCTTAAACCCCCTCACGGAGTCCATATACATCTTAAAAAGTCTCCTCGACTGCTTCAGGGAGACCCAGCTATGCTTCCCTCCTCGGGACTGACGCTGCAGGTGAAATACCCGAAAGAAAAGAGGGATGGTCGCCCCTATCCTCAAGTAGCGACACGTCAACTCAAACGCCCGGATGAAGGCGAGAGAGTTTGGGTGTAGCTGGGATAGGGCCAGCTCCAAGTGCATAAAGACCCCGGCCTGAAAATCTGTGAACGGCAGCCGCAGCCCTAGGTCTTTAAACGCGATCTCATACATCGCGAGGCTGTAATTCGGATAGACCGAGCAAATCCTTGCGCCGGTCGACGGAATCATGACTACGAAGTTTTGTTGGAAGCCAGGCTCGTCCTGACCCTCTTCAATGACAGTGAATGGATGTCGCTCATCCCGACTATATACCGACGCTGTCCCCCGCGGCTCGACACCCACCCATTCCAGCAATGGGTCGGTCACGGTATCTATCAGGGTGGCCGACTCTTCGGCACTCTGTTCTTCGCGATCACGACGTCCGGAGGAGCTCGGCTCGTCCGCCATGGTTACCTGCAGAGCACGGGAAACCAATCAGTTGAGCACGAAGTCCTATGCTCGACAAAATCATGTCGTCCCATACACGACTACACAAGTCCGTTTCCACAAATGGATGCCTCCCCGACTCTCCTGAACCCGGTGTTCTTCCTCAAACCAACTGCGCGGCCACTCTTCAAGCATGTCGACCCGAGGTATAAACATGGCGAGCCGCACTATGAAGCCCACGGCCACGACCATGAACATACCGGGCACCGTCATGAATCAGGCGCCCCGGATCATGAGGACCCCGGGCAGCTCTGGAGTTTTTCACCTAAAACTATGAATATGTCGGCCACAAACATGCGTTTGCCGGTCCTAGACATGAATATGTCGGGCAACACACGAGTTTACCGGGCTAATCCCACGCGCACGGTCCTAAAACATCTACAAATTCCAGGAATCATGCATTCTAAACGGAAAAATGAAGAAAGTAGATCACATTCTTGGATCAAAGTGTGGGATTTGGCTAAGAAATGGAAGAATATGAGACGGGAAGTCGCAACTGGAGAAAGTGTTGAGAGCGGCAACAGAGAGAGCACGGAGAACGGAAAACGTATTATGGGGCCCAAGGTTCCTATTTATAGTGATGACGTGGAATACCAAACGTCACCTCGGGCAACCACGGACTCCATCTCCTTCGACGCGCTGCTCCCAACGCAATGATGGCCCTACCCCCCTAGGGTGGCGGCACAGCTCCCGAAAGATGCCTCGTGTGCTCGACCGACGCACCCGGTACGGATCCTCCACGCATCCACCACCGAAGACGTCTCCGAGCACGACACGAGGAGGCCCCTCGAGGGCCCACACCTCCATCCCGGGCACGAGACCTCAACGACGGAACAACTTGGTTTCAAGTCATGGCTCCTCGCAAAGGAACCACGACTTGGGGGGCTCCTGTTCTGGACTGGGCCCGACAGGCCCAAAAGCATTACTAAGGCCCAGTCCAAAGGGACTCACTAAGGACCACACTGGGCAAAGGGGGTCACATTCATGCCCGACATCCTGATGTCCACCTCGACATCCCGATGTCCAACTCCACGCGGTGAAGTCGTGCTCGACACCCCGCCGTCCAGCTCCATGTCCTGGCGTCCAGCTCGACACCCGCTGTCCAGCTCGAGGTCCTGGCGTCGAGCCCGGACCGTGCTGCCCAGCTCGACATGGTCTCGAGCTACCCGGCTAGGGCAGACTCAGTCCACCGTTTCCCCAACGATACTCCGGAAAGACCGCGTCTCCGTCCGCCCGCACTTCACGCAGCACATCCAGGAAGGGGACCACGTGCGGGTCCCCACTACCCACGTAGAACTTGGCAGTTCCTCCATTGGGCCAAATCCGCCCGGCCCAATAAAGGAACCTTGGCCCAGCGCTGGGGGCTATAAATACCCTCTGTTTCCAGAGGGTCAGGTATTCATCATTCTAACCTCAACTCTATTATCTGCTCGTACTCCCACTGACTTTAGCATCGGAGTGCCTTGCAGGTACCCCCCTCCTCGTTCAAAAAGCTTTCTGCTTGGAGCCAGCCGTGACGGTCCAAACCTTCTGATCAGGTCAGATCAGTACCTATACTCTTTAACTCTTTTACATTGACCTAGTTATATGAGTCAATTTTTGTCACTAATATCATTTCTCAGTAAATTAGACAGTGATATTATCAAACAAATATGTTATAGATAAGGAACAATTTAAATGTTATCTTACATATTACAACGAGAGTATTGATGTTTGTTACTAATGATTCATAGAGGGAGAAAGAGGAATACAAATCCAAGGTTGCATAACCCAAAATATAAAATCAAACAAATCCAAAACCCTCACCACTACAACAAAATTAAAATCAACTAGATGCTTCAAATTACAATTGACTCCAACCAAAAATATGATGCTTTCATTTTTTTTTGTTTTCAATCTTGTCTTGTAACAAAACCATTTCCTTATAATAATAACCCTCTACTCCTTGAGTACATAAATCATATTTTTACCTGGCTTAGAAAGCATCCTCCAATAGTAGGTTGAGTAAATAATATCCGAAAACAACGAAAACTGCAAACCTATGTACAAAAGTATTGGGAGAAAAGAAAGCAATGCAATGGAACTAGGAACCCACTTTGAACCATGGTAGTATATAATGAAGAAGGCACTGCTAAATGCTACCATCATGCTTGTTATGGAAATGAATAATGCGATCAATCCAAATATTAACTTTAAAGGCAATGATTTATAAAAATCATACTCTCTATAGCGTGAGACAAGAATAGACAGGAAGATCAATATCGCAGTTGAAGATGAGATGAGTGCCAATGCATCTGATAATGCAAACACCGCAAATGATGTTTTAGACAAATAGTTTGGTTTTCCAGTGTCATCATTTGTTCCTCCTGGTAAACTAGTTGCAGCAGCGAAAACTCCGGTAGCAATGACAGTTGAAATTAGCATACAAGACTCAGCAGTTTTTTTCATCCACTGCTCTCCATTTTTTCTTAGTTTTTCATGCTCCTTTGAGAATAGCTCTTGCGCAGTTAAATCTTTAGAATTTCTCCACTTTATTTGTGCTGGTATCATTATCTCTTTTACTTTCTATCATATGAAAATGTAATATGTTTGAGTTTATTTTAAATAGAAAAATAGGAAAATGGTACATAAAACATTAATTGTGATTACAAGGCATTTTGATTTTGATCTAATATCTTATGAAAACTAAATGGCACGAGATAAAAAAATCGTACCTCAAACCATAATAATTCTAGGCACATTTGAAAAGCAGCTCCAGAAACCAATTCAAGTTGACTTTGTGGTGCTAATGTTGCAGCCAAGTGCAATAAAGTGTTTCCTTCTTCATCTTCATATGTCACTATGACACCCTTTATATGCCCTATTTTATGTACAAGGTTGAAGATACTAGCATGACGATGCAAAACAGCTATGTGTAATATAGTTCGGTTTTTGCTATCCACGTCCCATATCAAGCTAGGATAACCACTAATAAGCTCTGATAAGAACCCAAAATTTCCAACTTTTGCAGCATCAAATATTAGTTGGGAAGGTTCATTTCTGATTTTTCCTAACTCTAGCTTTGAGTGATAGTACCGAGCAACAATAGTGGTCCAAAGAAATTTAACCAATTGGAAAACCACGTGTTTTTTCATGTCTGCAAAAAGAAACTTTGTTACTTAACATACAATAAAAAATATAAAAGAACTATTGATAAAATAAAAAAGGAACTATATTTATCTACCAGGATTGATCATGATGGGATTCTCATCATGTTTTTGATTATGACTACAAGAATCCAAAGGTATTTGACTTTGAGCCAACACATGTAAAGCTGTCTCTTCATTTGCATCGCGTGCAAAAGCTAGTGCATTCCTATCTCTTACCATTTTCAAGGCTAAGTCTGAAATTAAAAAATGAAAAATCGGCATTTCCTACTAGCATGGAATATGAATTTCAAAATGTTGCCCATTTTGGTGTTAATACTTACCATAGATACCAGTGTAGATACAAGCAAAGAACAATAAATTCCAATCCTTCTCTTGAAAACAACGTATGGTTTTATCATATAAATGCCATGTCATTTTGTATCTTCCTTGCAAAGCAGCATACTGAATAGGAGTATTTCCATTTACACCTCTTATTATCGGTAACAACTCGTTCCTTTCCAGCAATAAGTTAACAATTTCTATGTTTCCAGCTGCAGCAGCAAAACAGAAAGCAGTATTACCATTGATATCTTGCAATTCCAAGTCCTTAGGATCAACAAGCATTTTCAGTAGCTGCTTCACAAACTCGATGTGGTTTGCACCTGCTGCAGTATGCAGTAGTGTAGGCCACCCATTTGTTATGGCAGCATTTTTCAGCTTATTTTCTTTGTCTATAAGCCTCTTGGCTGCGGGCCAGTTCCCTTCTAAAGCAAACTTGTGAATGGGGATACAAAGTTTGAGAAACTTTTTCTCTAGATCATTACCTAAAATAAAATAATACATGGAATTAAAAGATCAAAATAATATCATGGTCATAGTTTTAAATTGCAGTTGTGGGCCTCTAGTTATACATGCACTTGTGAATATTATGACTGTTGCAATATAATATTTTTTTTATATTTAACTTAAAATATTATATTTTATTATCTCTCTTATATATGCTTCACATATCTTCTATTTCATTTTTAAAGTTTCACACCTATCTCAATATCAACTTTTGATCAATTTAAATATCTCTTATTCGTTTTAAAATGTGTCTCAACCCTATGATATAAATATAAAGTTCGGTAAAATAATCATTTTTGTAAGCAATACATAAACACTTGTGGCATGATGCAGCTCTTGCGGTGCCATGATTTTAAAATATCTATTTTAGTTTTTATAAAAAGAAAATTGTTTATTTTTAGTCAATGCAATATTTAATATTGATCACTACTTTCTTAGTATCTTTTATAAGTACATAATATTTTGAGAGAGAGAACCATACTTGGTTCTTCCAAAAATTCAAAGTTAGGATAGTTGAGTTCTGTTGCTAATGCAGGCGTTTCTTCTTGTGATACTACAGTTATAGAATCGACATTAGGTGTTGAAACTTCCCTGTCAAACAAAGTATATATTTTGTGATTTTTAGTTCTAGAGAATATTGTAATAATAAGTCATCAATATTAACCAACAAAATGAAATGTATGAAACCTTAACTTGTCAAGCTCATCCCACATTTCCTTAGCTGTATGGAAACTTGAAACTCTTAAAAGATCATCTGGATTTAAAGCACAACATAAAATATGTTTGGCTTTTGCTTCTTGTTCCATCATCTTCATATCTTTATCATCTAATTCATCTTCAGATTTCTCAATTTCTTCACCATTTATTACTTTTTTTGGAATTTTTTGCCCATTCTTAGTCACAAGCCAAACATTGAAGTCATTTGATTTCATAAATATCATCATACTCTTCTTCCATTCAGTGCAATTTTTACCATCAAAATATGGTGGCTTCGAAATGGATCGACTTTTAACGATGCTCATGGTTGAATCCATTTTTTAGAAAATTGTATTATCTACAATTATGTATGTTTCCGATTAGTCTATCAGATATCAAGTTAGTGATAATGACTTGAATGTATATTTTAAAAAAGATTGAGCTCAAACCCAAAAATAAGTTTGTGAGTAAATAGTTGTTAATTTAGACGTAAACCTTTGAATAATTGATAAATTTTTTTTGAGTGAGAGCTTAAAATAAGTCATGTAAATAAGTCACAAATTTGATGAAACATATTAAATTCGATTAATTATGTAAACAAAACTTTCTATAGGAAAATATAAAAAGTTTAATTAAAAATAAATTTAAAACAGTGGTATTAAGTTTGATAAAAAGTAATATAAATTAATCTTTAATAATAATTTTTTTTTAAATTTGAATTTGAAAGAACATAAGAAAAACGTGTTGGATATTAAAGGAGCTTGGTGACAAAGTACTCAAGGACCATCAATGATTCATTTTTAGTGGATGTCCCATATTCTCACTCTAAAAATTTCATATAATTTTTTTGTGCCATTAAGTAGTGATTAGTAGCTCAAATTAGAGAAAGCATAGTGAAAAACTTTATGGCGAAATAAAGAAAACAGAGAAAAATATTAGAGAGAAATTTTAGTGTCATTATGTAGTGATTAGTAGCTCAAATTAGTGTGAAATCTTTCTTATCTTCTACCTTTTGGCTAAAAATAATGTTAAAGTTTAATAACCACTGCATGGAAAATGTTAAAGCACCGTACCTGGAAATACACGTAAAAGGACTTCAATATATGGTCCTTCACTTGCCTACACAAATATAAAAAAAATTTATGTTTAGTCAGCAGCTAGCATGTAGTTTTCACTTCTAAGAATTATTATAAAAAATGAAATTAATAATTAATAAAGTAATGTAAAGACTGATTTTTGTTGTAATTTTGTGGCCCAACAAACCTAAGATATAGAAGTATACTGAGATTCAAATGGAAACTGGAGAGTGAAGGGGAAAGATAGGAATATGTGTTATAGTTGTTGAAGATTTTTTTTGTTGATAAGCTATAGTTGTTGAAGATTTTTTTTGTTGATAAGCTATAGTTGTTGAAGATTTTTTTTGTTGATAAGCTATAGTTGTTGAAATTATATATACACCACACAACTTAAAGACTAAGCAGGCATGCATAAAAAGGAGATAGTGATAAGTGAAAGGGGGAAGAAGGAAGGTATAGTGTGGACAAATAGTACAACATCCCTAAAGCATAAAGACATGAATGCCAAGGAAATATCCTTTCAAAAGTAAATCAACAGTAAAAGTAATTTTATTTAATTGATTAAAAAGAATTATGCAAAATAATTTTTTTATTAAATTAAAATGTAAAAGAAATTCAAACTAAGTATCTTATGGTTATAAACATAAGCTCTTGTTTACTGAACTAACACCACAAGAGTGTTTAATTAATTTGTTAATCAACATTAATACCTTTCATCATTGTTTTTGAGGAGATTTAATTTTTATTATTTGTAGTTTTAAAGACCAAAATTTTTATTACTTAGTTAATACCTTCACTATTAAAAATATGACATTTGAGAAAAAGTCTTTACATCAGGTATAAAAATGTATGATGTGAAAATATTTGTCAAAAGATTTTACATCAGACCTTTATTTCCAATGATATGAAAAATATTTGAATTAGTGAAAAATATAACACGACGGCAGTTTGGTAAATAAAAAGAAATTTTGTAATAAAGGATTTCACATCGGACCTAGATTTTCCCCGATGTGAAAAGTCCAGTGAAAAAAATAAAAACACAGTGACAGTTTTGTAAATAAGATGAATTTTGTTATAAAATGAAAAGTTGGACGTTACATCGGATTATAGGCCCAATCGATGTAACATACTGGCCATTACATCGGCCCAATTGACCAACCGATGTAAAATGGTCTTCTTATTTCACAAAACCCTAATATTCTGTACCAAACCCATTCATTTTCAATAAACTCTTTCGTTCAACTCTTCCTTTCGTCGAACTCCCTTCGTCTGACCACCCTAACAGATGCGCCATGCAACGTCGTCTTCATCCGTCCGCTCAACTCCCTCTGTCCAACACCACAACGGACATGTCTCCTTCGTCGTTTGTCGCCGTCCGTTCAACTCCCTTCATCTAACTCCCTCCGTATGGCCAACACCCCCCATCCGTCCAACTCAACTTTCCACCATCTTATTTATCATTTTCATCTCATTAAGGCGAGTTTTTATAACAATGTTATTGATTTGAATATAAGTGACTGTAAGGTACATGATGATACCTTGGAGTTTGATTTTATATTATATTACTATTGAATATAAGTGTTTGACTATGAAGTATGTTGTAGACACTAGTTTTCTGAATCATTTTGTTAGAAAATAATAGTGTTTTTTAAAATTTGGTACTTGTGTCTTTTGAAATAAGTGGTTTGATATGATAATTGCAGAATATTTTAGACTGAGGTGTACAATTTGTTGCAGACAATTACCCAAAACTAGAGTCATTGAACTTGACAAGATATGGATTGTAAATATCATTACTCAAATGATGAATTTTATGATTTTGTTCCCTTATGCATTAGCTTGTTTGTGTTTGAGTTATTTGAAATTATGTAATTTATGTTATAGATTTAGATGTTTCAATGTTGATCTTAACCCCTAATCAAGTGATGTGATTATTCATATTGATTGCCAAGTTATGTGCAATATTTGGGTGAAAGTGCTGCAGTGGATTCAGAACTCTCACAAACCTCAACATTGGGATAAGGAGATGGAATGGATGATTGAAGAGAGCAGAGGGAAAAATTGGTACACCAGAATTCTGAAGACTGCGTTTATGGAGATAATTTATGGGTGTTGGACCTTTAGGAACCAAAGTGTTATAGAGAAAATAAGAATGATATGAAGGATCATAGTGGTATAGAAAGGAATATAATAGATAGAATAGATTATAGATGTTGGAGAAATAAAAAGCTACAAGAGCATGTTTCTCATTTGATTCTAATTGCGGATTTGCAGCTTAGTTTTTTTTTTGTTTTGAGCTGGATCCTATGGGTCGCTTTGTTCTAAAATGTTTTTTAGATGTATATATAGAATATCTTATTTCCACGATCAACACTCGAATCTAAATAGAGTAATTATCGGTGCGACAAAAGCAACCTTACCCAAGTTCCCTCTGCAGTTTTACCCAAACTCACTCCGAAGCAGCCCTACTATCCCGACTTTTATATCGAAGTAACCCTACTATCCAGGTTCCTTCTCACAACCCTACTATCCCAGCTTTCATATCGAAGTAACCCTACTATCCAAGTTCCTTCTCACAGCCCTACTATCCCGACTTTTATATCGAAGTAACCCTACTATCCAGGTTCCTTCTCACAGCCCTACTATCCCGACTTTCATATCGAAGTAACCCTACTATCTAGGTTCCTTCTCACAACCCTACTATCCCTACTTTCATATCAAAGTAACCCTACTATCCAGGTTCCTTCTCACAGCCCTACTATCCCGGCTTTCATATCAAAGTAATTGTACTATCCAGGTTCCTTATCACATCCCTACTATCCCGACTTTCATATAGAAGTAACCCTACTATCCAGGTTCCTTCTCATAACCTTACTACCCAGGTTCCTTCTCATAACCTTACTATTCGGGTTCTTCCTCTCTTATCCCCAGACAACAGTCCACAACACTGTAAAACTGGGACCCGATCAAACACGTTTGTTTCGCATTTCCCCAATAAGTCGCGGTGCAGCATATACCCCGACCAAACACACAGTTCACTTCCGCTTCCCAAACCGGAATTATTCCCCAATAGAGTAACGGACAACTGAAGCTCCTAAAACTCTATTTCTCTCAAGACAGAGACCAACATTCCCCAGCGAAGTCCTCCTTAACAACAGGTATACGGGTTCTCGCAAAGGAATCCCTTATGCGATCGACACCTCTTCGAATGGCATCTTTAAGCCCATCCCTAACAATTCTCTAGCAACTACCAAATGGAATCTATAAGCCCATTCCCGATATCACAAATCAAATATCACTTCATGCGAGTGCAAATTTCTGGGCACTCTAGTGTTCAATCATCTTCCACCTTCAGATCACGAAAGGCAGACGGGCCAATCTACATCTTCAAGTTTAAGAACATTGAACAGGGGCAGCTGTTGTACCCCAAAATTTTCCCTCCCATATTTCTCAGTACATGTCAAGTGAGGTCCTCAAATTGCTCAAGGAAGTCCAAGAGTTGACCATACAAACTCTCTCCTAAGGCAGTCTACCTCAAATTAAGGTTTCATTTTTCATCAAGATGCTTGAGTCCAAAGGATCCCAAATGCTCACCATTTGTCCTAATATGTTCTCAAGATCACCCATGTCAAGTTTCAAGCCTCGCAGAAGAAGTTTGCTCACTCAATGGCTCGAAGGCCTGAAAATCGATTGTGCTAGGTCAAAAGTCAACTGTGGCTTACATACAGTCAAACTTCAATATTTTTGGTCAACATCCTCATTTTGAAGTATTTTTCATCATTTTATCAAGGGCTGATCATGATTCATCAAGGATTGCTCACAATTCATCAAAACCCAAAAGTTGCTAAATTAGGGTTTTACAGGAAAAGTCAACTCAACTAGTGCAGAAATGACTTTTTACATCGGGTAAAATTGACTTTTTACATGTTTTGGGTCCGATGTAAAGTCAGGTGATATAGTAAATCAGGGACTTTTTACATCGGTTCTGGGACCGATGTAAAAAGTCCCTTTTTTACATCGGTTATAATATCAGAACCGATGTAATAACCTGTTATTATGCACATTTTTTAAAAAATTGATCCAGTTTTTTACATTGGTTGGAAGTAATACCCGATGTAAAAAGTACCTTTTTTATATCGGTTATAATATATGAATCGATGTAAAAAACAATTATTATGCACATTTTTTTAAAAAATTGATCCAGTTTTTTACATCGGTTGGAAGTAATACCCGATGTAAAAAGTCCCCAGGACGCGACTTTT